CAGGAGAAAGGTTCAGGCTATCAGCTGTGCAGAATTGTCATTCCAGCGTACTCAACGCTATTTCTTTAAGGATGAGCAGTTGTTTTTAAGGAAAGGGGCCTGACTGAGAGACCAGGAGGCTGCAATCGTCTGTTCATAGCACAAATACATGCAGGGCGACACAGCTCCCCCTTCGCTGACCTCCGTCCTGGTGGTGACCACAAGGGAGCTGGTCTCCTGGCTGCGAATCTCGTGTTGCCTTCCAAGCCCGTTAGCTGGGTGCAAGCTTGCACTGTATTTCACAAGTGGAGGGCACGGCTCCTTTCTGACGGGCTGCTGGACGACGATTTGGGTAGTGCGAATTGACCCTGTCCACCAAAGAGGAGATCCTTTCATCCCATTAGCTGCGCTCTTTGGCCACGCGGTCCACCAGCTGGGCTCCGTTTCTCCCCTCTGTCCCCGCTCCTGATATGGGATTCAGGCATTTTAGAAACGAAGAGAAGCAGTGACCGTGTACCAAGTGGCTGCAGGATGCGCCTGATTTGCATAGATTTGAATAATGTGTACTTTATTGTGCCATTAAGCCTTCAATAAAAAGGAATTGCTTATGTAATTCAACAATGGGTTTGTGAAAACACCCCAATGAAGGTCTCTGGCACAGGCTGGTTTTAACCATCTGATGAAAGATGTTTAAAAAGTTTGGAGATCTATGTATGTTTTTCAAGTGGGCAATTAGAAGCCAGCTGCCAGGCTGAAGCACAAGCAGTTAGAATCGCCCGAAAGACAACCTGACCTCTGGTTCCCGAATCCGCTCTGAAGCTGGTTGTGGAAAAGCAGCTCGGAGCTGCAAGGAGCATGCAGAAGCCTAGCACTAGCAGGGGTGGGGAAGGAGAGGAGACACGAGCTCTTTTCAGGTCTCCCCGTGAAACAAAAACGTGCTGAAGCCTTCTGGCTTCTCCGTTAGCCACTTTGCTAGGTGCGTGGTGGTAGCACCAACTAGGTCACGTCAAAACGTGAGTAGTCACGTGTTGGGCCCATGACAAGGCCAGCCTGCAGGTTTTACCCAACGCGGGCGAGAGCTGCAATCAGGATGTCTATTAGGTTGCTATTTGAAGTATCTGTATGTTTGTCTCCATGTCTGTATAGTCCCCGGGCTCCGAAGCTGGGTTGCTGTATATCTCATCAAGGGCTCGGATGCCCTTTGCTGCCAGCTGACCTCTGGCTTGCCTTGAACTCGACGTTTCTGCCGCTTGGCGCGGGAGTCATTTCATCCGGCTGTGCTTTGTCTTTTGGCCCGGCTCGCGCGAGCTCGGAGATGAGATGCGGTATGAGTCACAGTTCAAAAAGCAGGTGCCTGAACTGGCGCTGTCAAAACATAAATTTGCAGGACTCTCTATGCCATTTGTGCTGGTATTAACTGCAGCTCGTCTCAGAAAAGCGGTTGGCTTTGATGGGCACTAGACTACCCTTTCCCCCCCCGCCCCCCTACCCCTTCTAGATTTAAGATCAGGATTAGCTGAAACAAGGTGATCTTGTCCTTAGCATATGCCTTCCAAATCAGCCTGCCTGACAGATTTTGGATGCATCATTATAGAAACTATATGTCCTTGGCTTGCATGATTAATAGAAGGAGAGCCTTCCATGCAGTGAAATACTAACTTTTTTTTAAACTAAAGCTCAGTCCTTCCGAACAGGTTGACCAGGCAAGGGAGGACTCTCAGAGCTACGTCCTCTGCCCCTGGCTCTCCGTGGAAGAATTGCTTAGGTTAAAAATGCGCTGAGGGTTGGACTCATCCCTGTGAAGTAACATTGAATTTCAGGTAACTGCGTGTGGCTGGGGTCTCTGCTGTCTCTCGTTCAGGGGACAGCACTGGCTGCCTGGTTGTATTAGGTACTCTTTCAACACCAGTGACACACGCGGGGGAGCTCTTCGTGGGTCGAAGTGGGATCGGGAGAGTAGAGAGGAGGAAAACGCGTGACCTTGAATAATGAAATGAAAATAAAAATCCTGTAGAAAATGAAAGATCGTGCCTGTAGGGACTAACAAGGAAAGTTTCTGCTACAGGCTGAGGGTTCATTAGTTGGAAAGGGCAGAGGAGGAGAAAGGATCCTGCTTGGGGTTGAGAGAGATGAGCTAAATTACCTTCAAAGTCCCTTCCAGCTCTGTGACTGTAAGCTGTATAATGCACTTTTATTTTCTCTTACCTTTTTAGGATGTGTGGGGGAATAAGGATGGTATTGATACCATGGCAGAGGTCGTGGCGAGGCTTGAAATGCTGCATGCTGCTCTGGTCCCCCATGGTCCAGAGCAGGTCTCCAGACGGACCGCTGGGAGACCCGAGAATGGAGCACTCACGCACAGAGAAGAAATTAAGAGCTTTGCTCGTTCAGATAAGCCAAGCGAAGGCCGAGATGTCGAGCAGGGTATAGCCCAGGGAGAGGGTGAAAGCGCAGAAGGACATGAACTGGCTGAATAAATTTAGGTGGGAAGGAATTTAGGTTAGAAGAAAGTTGCTGGTCTCAGAGCGGCGCGGTTCAGGAGCGGTGAGTGTCTGTAAAGGTCTCGCAGAGGTGACAGCACAGGCAGAAAGCGTAACCGCTTGTGAAACAGAGCGTCGCTGTTCTCCGTGCGGTCGCCTGCGTTCGTGAAGGGCTGGGTGCAGCGACCGTGAGAAGTGCTTTCCAGTCGCCCGTTCCCGCGTGTTGGCCGAAGGAAGACGAGCGTGCTGCTGAGCGTCACCGTGCCGTTACGAAGCGCGAGGTTTCCTTTGAGCGTTTGAGTGGCCTTGAACGTTTTGTGCCGGAGGACGGAGCGGAGTGGCAGAAGTGTTTTCATTAAAGCAGTAGGAGTTAAAAAGGAATACATTAAAATGAGATTATAGAGGATAATCTCTTCCTGCCTTGTTTGGTTGCTCCTTCATGCTATTCCCCCCCAACCCCTGCGCTACTACTTCTCTGCTGTCTTCTTTTCTCGATCTTTACTGCTCGCTTTCCTCAATGCTGAGGATGAGAGCAAGCGCTTGTGTTAACACCAAATCCCTGTTTTATTAGAGTGGAGTAAGTTAGGTAGCTGCCTGTCTCTGAATGAGAATAAACTTTGTGCTCAGCGCATCCTCCCGGTCATAAGCCTGGAGTCTGCACGCTGTGTTTCTGCAGCTGCCTTCTCCGTGCTCTCTCCATTACCCCTGGTAATTGAGTCGCCGGTGGAATATAGCACAAGGGTATGCTTGGGTGCTCCGTGGGGAAAAGAATTATTTTGAGTTTGCTCCCTTTGCTGGGGGTGGAGAGAAGAGGTAGAAAGCTGCAGTCATAAACAAGGCAGACTGCCGCTTTATTGCTATAGTCTGTAGAAAGCGTATTTATCTACCTTGCACAGGCTAACAAATTGTTGTTGCAATCATTATGGTAAATATGAGGTATGGAAACAGTTTTAAGTTTCATTTTGCTTGCTGTTCTCTCTCTCTCTCTCTCTTTTTTTTTTCTTGTTTATTGAGCAGCAGTAATGTAATTGCATTGTTTGACTCCTGTTCCTCTTTCCCGTGTTTTGGGTCGCGCTGAGTTTCTGTTCCGCATTTAAGTGCACTAGTACAATTTTATGCCTAATGAAAAAAGCAGTGATTATTTCATTAATACCGGAATACAGTTTGTCCATAATCAACAAGAAATTAGAAAGCACTGAGTGTATCGGATGAAGTAGTTTTTCTCCGCTTTTTTGCTTACGTGAAACGAAAGAAGGCATCCGTTCGTACCTGTACTCATAGACGTGCGTGCTCAACTTGGTGTTGAGACATCCCACAAAAATGTTGAGCGTGCATAACTGTGGAGGATCAGGGCCTGACTCCGGTAAGAGTGCATCTTAGTTTCCGTGCTGTGCTGTTTGCTTTTGAAAGGCCACTGAGCACGTCATCTCTTTTTTATCTCGTCTTTCTACTAGCGCACGCCGTTGAAATTTGCTGTTGATCATTCAGATAAGATCTTTGCTATTAATAAAGAATATAAGGGGATGGGGGGTGATTTTATTAGACCCTGAGGTCTAATAAAAGGTGCCCACTCCCACCGATCCCCTGGAGGGGAAGGTGTCTCTTTAGTTGTGTCTAGGGGTGATTTTATTAGACCCTGAGGGTCAGCAAGGTGCCCACTCCCACCGATCCCCTGAAGGGGAAGGTGTCTCTTTAGTTGTGTCTTTAGAGTTGTCAATTCACATTTCATGTGAAAATTTTGTTTCATGCTCATATTTGTAATGTAAGAGGAGAATATTCATATTCAAAGTAAACAGGCTTCAGTAACGCATGTTAGAATAATCACTCTTAGGGTAAGATCCACGCCACTGAAACCTAATACAGAGCCACAACCCACCGATCCTTCCAGTCTTGTGCTCTAATGAATGCTCTACTTTTCAATTTCAAAAAGGACGGTATGATCCGGTAGACCTAAGAACATTGTCCAGAGTAATCTAGGAGACCACTGGAGACTGAACACAATCCTTTGGTGGATAACAGAAATGAAAGATGAAACTGGGGGCGGGAAACAGCGTGAAGCTAACAAGAGTGAAATAGAGAATGGTTTGCTCTTCATTGTTTTAAGGCATACAGTGCCGTGGAGGGTGTCATGTGGAGTTAAACTCTTGAAATGGCAGTTGAACTGTTGAATCGCAGCGGTCAGACCTATTAATATTTGTGATACACTGCCAATGTGTTTGAAGACAGAAACTTAATCCCATTGTTTAGCTTAAGCTGCTCCTTCGTTATTGAATGTAGGGAGAAATACAAGCGATGTGCTGTGCTTGGCTTTTTTAATAGTGAGATGTTATTAAGTAAATGTGTTTTTTATGATGACTAGGGTTTTGATTGTTAGTAACATTTGTTTTAGTTGTGCTAGCTATGTGCTGGCGCCTTGCCAAGCGTAGAATCATGGTTCGTGCCCTGAAGCTCGTACAATCTGAAAAAGATGACGCTGGGGGAAGAGGGAGGGTGTAACGCGCTGTCTAACATTTGTTCCTCCTCTTTCTTTCCTTGCTGCAGACTGTACCAAAGCCTATAGCGCTGGAGCCCTGCTTTGGTAACAAAGCAGCTGTCCTCTCCGTATTTGTTCGGTTGCCCCGGGGACTTGGGGGTATACCACCACCAGGACAGTCAGGTGAGGAACGTTACCATCTCAACTGGCTCATTGTGCTCCTTCCTCAACCTTAGAGACTGACATTACAGTTTCGGTTATGATCCTGCAGTAAGAGGTATACTGCAGCTTGCGTGGATGTGCTCAAGATATTTTAAACTAGCTCGCTTGGGTCTTCCTAACTTCCTACCTGAGTTTTGATTGAGTGTCTTGGATCAGTTGATGGACTGTGCTGCTGCAGCACTGATAGGATCCAAGCAAGATAGCAGGAGTGCATCTGCCTGCACGTTTGTCCTTAGGGTTACGCTTTATCTTATGGCTAGGGAAAAAAGGGGGCCTGGTATGGGTAGGAGTTCTCCATAGGCATGTGTAAAAGTAACTTATCTCAGCGTATTTCCTCCTTTCCTAGCTCCATCCACAGAGAGAGATCTAGTCCTTCCAAAGCATCCATGCCCTGCTCTTAGCAGCTCTGGAGAGTAGTTTTCTCTGTGCAGTTTAAGGTCTCCCCTGTTCCCAGCCACTTCTCGCTCAGCCTTTCTCATAGAGAGACATCATGTCCTGGGCAGTGTGTGGAGTAACTGGGGTTTCTGCAGAGCCTGGCAAGCATGATGGAGCAGAAGGTCTTAAAAGAGCATTAGCTGGGTTTGAGACGGGATGGTTTAGTTGTGAGCTGTGTTGAACTAAATCTCAGATGGCCAGTGGTGATTTGCCTATGGATATGCCAGGAGGAGACTGCAGAGAGGACTGATGTCTGGGAAGCGCAGTGAAACCTCCAATGCACAGGTGCTTCAAGGATTTATTCTAGCACATCTACTGGTGCAGATAAAGACTCTTCCCTTTAATTTAATCATGATTTTCATATCTATTAATACCCGCAGTTCTTATTTCCAATTTTTTTTTTTACTGCAGTTGCTTTTAACAGAGCATGGAGTATTTAAAAGTTTATTTCAGAATACCTTCTAGAGTTTAAACTGTAAACCAAAATACCTTTCTTGTTTGTTTGTTTGTTTATTTTTTCTGAGAAGAACGCAAAAGAATGATACTCATTCTGTGCCTTGGAGGATTTGTTTCTGTGACCGTTTTGTTTTGTTCCTCCAGGTCTTGCAGTGGCCAGTGCACTGGTGGACATTTCACAACAGATGCCAATTGCCTACAAAGAGAAATCGGGTGCAATACGAAATCGGAAACAGCAGCCCCCTGCACAGCCAGGAACCTGTATTTGATGCATGGACATCAGAAACTGTATAAGGTTTTAAACAAAATGGAAAAGTAACACCTAGGAGGAGGAGGAGGAAGATTTTCAAGTTGTGTCACAAGAAACTAGAAGCACTCAGAGAAACACAGCTTCCTTGAACCCAACCTTTTCTCTCATCTACGTGATAGTTGGCTTTATTTGACAACAGCTCCACTTAAGTTTTACTGACACATGGCTTCAGATTGCTCCTTTGTTTTCTTCCAGTTAAAGTAAAATAATTTTATTGCAGGTCCAGTCACAGCCGATCACCTCCATTCATGGTCAGTGTAAATAGAACAGTAGTCCAATATGAATGACACTCAGGTTTATACATGGAAAGTGCTTTGTAGTTTATGTATTTATCAAACTGTACAAAAAAAAAAAAGATGCAGTGTTTACAGGTGTCAGCTCTCAACACATAAACACTACTATTAATCTTCAAAGCATTTTCATCCTTTGTTTTCATTTAATGTACATGTTTATTTCCACATTATTTAAATGGGTCTCTCTTCCAGATACAGTTTTTCTGTAGTCATTATGGTCCAGAACATCAGGCAAGTAGAAGCTAGGATGCTACAAAGGTTGATGTCACGTGTTGCTCAGACCAAATGTAATACCCGTAGAAGTTGAATGTTGCTTTTGAAGGACTCGGTGTTTACATAGTCTTAACCTACTTGGAGTACACCACACACAAGTGCCTAGACTTGAACAGATCTAGGGAGTGAGGAGACTACTACAGACATTTCTTTTTTTACGTAATTATATTCATTTAAAAAATATATGTATGTAGTCACCCAAGGCAATCTGTGCTCTTTGTAATATATCACGTGCAGTCAGGGGAAAATGGCATTTTCCTGACCGAGAAATACTCAACCGGGCGGAAATATCTGGAGGGAAAGTAGAACTGAGTTTCAGTATCTCGTAAGAAAGTTCCTGGTTTCACCAGCGCTCTTAATAGAAGCAGTTTGTGTTCCAGGCCAGATATCATATATTTCTTCTGAGTTTCTCCGCCCATTTGACCTCTTTCGTTCCCCTTGCCTTCAGGCCGTCCTCCTGGGTGAGGACTGAGCTGTGCCAGTGGTCAGAGGTGCTGCTCTTCAGCAATAAGATTAACTCCCATCTCCTTGGCAGGTTGTAAAAAGCAACACTCCGGGTGCCAGATCATCTGAAGATCAAGAAAAAAATAACTTTAAAAAAAAAAAAAAAGGCAAGCAGAGCAGCTTCACTCTGCCACAGGTTTGAATTTTACATGATGAATTACGGATGTTTCCCATTCAGGTTAGACTACTGTAGGTGTTGAAAGAAGGTGGCTTGTCGATGAGAGGAAGCGGCTTAGAAACAGCAGAAAAAGGCTCGGCCTCTCGGGGATATATCACATCCTTTCTGAAGTACTCGGACTAGTTGGAATTAGATTTCGATTCTCCAGGTTGGACTTAACAGCCCATAAGCCTATGCATGCCGATGCCCAGTATCGCTGCCGATTCTAGAAATGGCGCGGTTAACTAAAAGGCGGTATGGTCCCATGCCGTGGCCGTGCGAAGTAGTGATGTTGAAGCTGGCAGAAAGATGTTCTGTTAAGGTGCCAAACGAGGCATGTAATTGCTGCTTAATCACAGTAAGTTCGGTTTCATTCAGGTCACTGAGTCGTTGGTTTCTAATGAGGACGTCTAGTATTTATTAAATGGAAAAATAGCAGATTGAGGGGAGTGAAGGGAAGTGCTGCTGAATCTTTTTGCCATATAGTACCCTTGTCCAGAACGAAACTGGAGTAACTGCATCGTTGTTTGTGCATGTTTCGGGGATCCGTCACGTATGAGCTACTCGTTCCTTCTGGTTTCGTTTTGTTTCGTTTTTAGTGTTTTGGAGAACCTTTTTGGAGCGTGGCATTGCCACAGAGCCGTAAATTGTCGTGCGTGTCTGCACAGCAGTGGTGCGGGGGAGCCTGCTGTTTTAAAGATCTCGGTGGATTATAATTCTGATCCAATGTATCTTTTAACAAATACAACACAACTGCAGAAAAAAAATACTGTGAAAAACGCATCTATCTATCTATATATTTTTATTGCCTGTCTGTTTCTAAAGCAGAAGCTTATGTGCCCTCTGGGGAAGGGAAGGTGAGGGAGGGAAAGGGGCGTGAGCTCTCTCAGAACGAAGGTTTTTAGTCAATTAAATTTTAGACGACGCACAGATTACCTCAGACAGATTCATCTCCTGAAAATATTTTGTAACTTCCTATGTGTCTAGGGCTAACCTGACTAGACTGTACCAGAGAAATAATACTGGACTAAAATTCCTCCCCTATTAGTACTCTGCGTATTTTCACTTCTGCTGCGTAGCCTCATGTTTGGAGGTGTCATTTCTTGCTTCTCCAATGCTTTTGGGGAGGAAAACTGCCAAACTCAAATTCAGAAAACTCGTGTGCTTAAGTCTCCACATCCAGGACAGCGCCTAAGCAGGTGCTTAAAGTTTTTTTTGCTTTAGGTTTTCTTGAACAGAAACAGCTTTCTAAATAATAGGCCTGTAAGGGTGATCTCTTTGTGCGTTGACAAAAATAAATGTTTGTTCCTCCAGGGAGCTGGATTGTCTGATCTCAAAGGCTTACCGCGGAGGGTGCCCAGAACTCGAGCCACAGGAGAGTTAGGCGTCAGATATTCAAAAGGCGAGCAGAAGCGATCAAACTCTGAGGTGTAGCAGAACCAAAAAATGTAAATAGGGGAACAAGACTTATTTATATAAATAAACTAAAACGGCTCCGTTAGGATGTAGCTCTGCTCTGCATCTCATCTCCATACTGATGCGGGGAAAAAAGAGAAGTCTCATACATATCTCTGCTGCAAACAGTTTCATCCCAGCTTCAAGGTAAAATATTGACAAAGGTGGGAGAGGATGGAGGGAAGGATTGCTGGTGGTTTGTCACCAGGCCAATATCAAAAGTGAAGGATTTGTGGGTTTACTTTGCTGGAGGTGAGGGGGAAAAGAGCAACCGTATTTCATGGGAGAATCTGTAAATAAATGGAAAATAACACACCAATTTTTGCACTTGTACATAAACTATACAGTAGTGTGCAGAACATTGAAAGATTTAAAGTGTATATAAACCAGAAAAATATTGAATGTATTTTTGATGCATTTTAAATGATGTATGAGTTTTGTCTTAATAACTTCTTCATAGGAGGAGTACTAGGTAACTTTCCAGAGCTTTAAAGAAACATCAAATTATATCCCTGATATCTTGCAGTATAAAGCGGGGAGGCATAACTTGACTTTTATGTATTCAAATGCGTTTCACTTAAATGTGTAAGCAAAGTAAAATATGGCTCTTCCATTTGAAAGAAAAAAAAAAAACACTTGCAAAGAGGTAATAAATGTACTTAAAGTAGTCATTACTTGGGGGATTAAGTCAGGAGTTTAAGCCTCTGTCATTAAGATCGAGCCAGTGATTTCTATTCAGAATCAGTTTGCAAGAGTTTATAACTGGTTGAAATTCAGCACTCAAGGTCTCAGCCCTCAGAGCTTTTTTTTTTTTTTTCCTTTGAGAGTAGCCTTTTTAAAAAGGGGAAAAAAAAAACCCGTAAATGTTGCAGCCCTCTTATTCTAGAAAGCACAGTGCCATTGCATCTCCAAATAGCATGCATTTTTGTTCAGCGTTGTCCATATTTTTAGCCCAGAATTTTCTCTGGATTGCTGTAGCCTGAGTGATAGCAGACCCCACCGTGATACGGGTCAGCGTGTTGGATACGAGAAGATTTATGGGATACAGCTTTGAGTTATTGCCACTCTCTCTGGGTTTCCAATGTGCTGTATGGAAAATGCCAAAATAAAGCTTTACGTGATGGGGTAATGCCTGTTATTACCATAAAGTCATAGTGTGTAATGTACCAAAATGTGGTGGTGTGGCACCAGAAAAGAATGACAGGCTGCACAAAGCCCCTCTTGGCAGATGCACACTTCCTTAGAGGTAGTTTTTATACTAAATATTTGCTCGGAAGCATCACTTTCTCTGCGGTAAACATTACCAAACTACGTAGGCCACTGGGTTTATAACGCGCTTTTTTGAAAATGACTGCTCAGCTTGCTGGCCCTAAATTAGCCAAAACGAGCCTGCGCCAAAACACGCGCTCGCCCCAGAGGCCGTAATAAATAAACCACGGCGGTTTTCCCGCGAAGCGCTGAAAATCGAGCGATGCAAAGATCGGGCTGATTCGCGGGTCCTTCGCCGGCCCGAATGTTAGGGCTTGCTTTGCTTTTCTGCCAAAGTTAGGACAGAGTTAGGGACAGAGGCTCATCTCTGGGGCACGCCGCTCGCCCCGAGCCTGCAAAACCCGCTCCCTGCCAACGGGGATTTGCCGGCGCTGAGCTACCGAGAGCAAAACCGGACCCTGCGTCCCGGGAGGGACTCTGAAACTGGTCCGCCGAGCTTAAAACTGAGCTGTGGCTGTCTCGTCCTGTCGCTCTCTTTTCTTTTTATCTTCCTTTGCAAATACGATGGGGACGTTCGGGGAGGGCAGGAGGGTTATGGAGGACTTTGGGGTTTTTTTTTTTTTTTTTTACTCTTTTTTGGAGCCTCCTGAGCTATAAGCTGCGAGAGCAGGTTTTAGGAAGCAACGTTCATGTTGGAAACGCCACCTTTGTGTCCGCTCGGAGATGCACGCAGGAGCTTTCGGGGACGTGGGAGCCAAAGGGAAGGGAGGGAGAGATGTAGGTTTCCAATTTTCGGGCATGCTGTTGGTGATTTTAGTCAAATTCATGCTTTTCTGTTGATAGATGCTTCAATGAGTTAAGTTTCTCACGTGCTAGTAATACTACAATAGTATGTGTATGCTGTTTTTTTTTTTCCTCTGCTTCTTCATTGGGACAGATTTTGTTCAGTTTATTATGTCATTCTAACACTATACATGAGCTGTTTTTCATGCGTCTTCCAGGTACTATAGTTCTTTAGACATTTCCTCTACATTTGTCATTGACTTCACAAACCTCAACAGAAGAAAGGAGGAAAAAAAAAAATTATTCGTGGAGGAGTGTAACATATGTTGGTCCATTTTTTTAAAAAATAAAAACAACAAAAAAAACAGGTTTTATATTACTCTGAAATTTGTGCACAATAGATGTTCTTTACACTAGGATCCTTGAATTAATTGTATTCTGAATATTTTTTTTTTGTTCTGTAATTATTTACAATTCTTATCTGTGTTCAGACTTGAGCTTAGTTTGTTAATATGTATAATTTAGCATTTCTTGCATTCATATGTAAATACTGAGCAAGTATTGTAAACTATTTCATTGCTGGGGATTGTGGGTGTTATACATACACACATTTAGACTGCAGTTTTTGGTATAATTTTTTGTATTGTAAAATAACAGCTAATTTAAAGCAGGAACGAGAAAATTATTGGGAGGTCTGTGCATTTTAAATACAAATGTGAAGTACATGTATATAAATAAAAATAAATAATGCAAATCTTTCCTCTGAAATAAAAAGTAGATGATCTGGTTAAAAAAAAAAAATCTCTTTCCTTCTTTCCCACCTCTCTCCTTTCTTTTCTTAAAAGAAAAATAAACCAGTAACTTGAGATGCTTGCAAAGGGTGCTGGCTGGGAGAAGGGTGACTTTTCGTGGTGAACCTCAGGCTGTGAGCGCTGCCAACTGGTGTCTGCTCAAGCAGCCTCTGCTCCCAGCTGCACCAGGTCCCGAATTCAGGAGGAAGGAGAAGAGGGAGGAGAGGGCTTTGCCTCTGCCAAATCACGAGGTAGGCTGCGGTGTCCAGGCAGCGCTTTGCAAGCCTCCAGAACAAGCCCCCAGCCTCTGTCTTGGCTTAAGTCCCGTTCCTCTTGGACACGTGCATCCTGCTGGCACCTTCTTGGCGGGACGCGGTGGTGGTTGGAGAGTGATAGGCAAACTTACCTCCATTCAGTGCTCTGCGCTTGACGCAGGCTGTCCTCTCCATGGAGACCAAGTTCCTTGGAGGACAGTTTTCCATGGACCCTCCTAGCCTGTACTCCTCATTTGAAGAAGGCGTTGACAGGGCAGGAGGTCCAGAGAGATGAAAAGCCAGGTGAGCCTCCTCTGGAGGGGTTTGGCTTTCTGCCTACATCTCCGGCATCTTCCGGTGCCTTAGGGAATAGGGTGCCTTAGATCCTTCTAAAGCTGTCTCTGAAGGACCCTGGAAAGGAGGAGTGTGCTAAAGAGGTCAAACTCCTAGTTGTGGGGAAAAGGGGCCTGTCCTACCCGCAGGTCACCCGGGGTGGTCAGGGCCAAAGATATAACTTGCTTGCTCCAAGCTCTACAATACCAGGATTGTTAATCCTTGCTGTCATAATTCACCTGATCTTTCTGGGTGTGAGAGCCTGGTCTCTTAATGAAATGGTATTTGCTCCCCTAAGGCACCAGAGAAACCCCACAAAGGACAGTACAAGAGAGCAAACCTTTACAAATTACCCAGCTAGAGCGCTTGCACCTTCTTCATAAGGTCAGTCAACCACTAGACAAAGCCATAAGGAATCGATGTCCCGGAGTGGGACTTGTTCCTTCGTGTAAGAGCTTGTGGGAAAGCTAGAAAGTTTTGCGTGGGGCAGTGACAGCAGCAGTTCTTGTCCTTTCGGGTTAGACAGTTGTATTACTGCCTCACAGCTCGTGGCTTCTGCATTCAGGGTCTAAATAAACTGGAGAGAAATTAAAATCTCAGCCCCTTTCCTTCTCACTACTAATTTTCCCAGTAAACTGCTACTTCCTTCGAATCAGACAAGAAATCTGGCAGCTGTGCAGATTGGAGCTTTGCTACTGATTTTGCAAACGTGTCAAATGTTGGAGCCAGCTGCTGTCTCAGACGCACACAAAAGCTAGGAGAGCAAAATCGGAGGTGACCTATCATCTGCCCCTTGGAAGCCCATGTGCAGCGCGCTCTAGCATCCAAACGAACTCCTGCAGCAACGCAATCCGTCGTTCTCCATTTATTTTTATGTTGCTCTTCAACTTTGAAATTAAGCGTTGCTGAGATGAAGCAGAGTTGAATCTGGCATTTATGGGCCATGAAGGTTTCAGTCAGTGCTATCTCCTAAGACCATTGTGCTACTTCAGCCCGTTATGTTAAACTTGGATGTTGAAGCTGCTGTAGAGTCGCTCTGAGCATGCAGGTCCAAAACTTGAAATGAAGTGGGCAGGGGGAAGTGGTTTTAAAGCTAGTTTAAGTTCAGGGCAAATCGGTTCCAAAAGTTTTGGACAGGGGAGGCAATTTGCAATCTTTTTAAAAGCAATCAATTTAACTCAACACCCCAGAGAAATTCTGGGCTGGTGGTAGTGTTCTCTCTCCTTGCCCAAGTAGAAGGTGGGATTCTTGGCAGCTCTTGGCTGGGCTTCACATCACTGATCTGGTGTAAAATCACCTTTTGGTACAGTGGAAGCACAAACGGTTGACTTTTCCAATTAATGAGAAGAGGGGAGAAAAGGAAGGTGCAAAGCAGTGAGCCAGAGCGCAGTATCTAACGCAGTCTATTGTTTTGGCAAAATCAATTTGCGTTTCTCCTCCTTGCGGTTTTTAAACTAATTAAGAACTAACAAAACGGGCGATGAGCTGACAAGATGGTAACTGACAGGCAATTTCAGAGGCGTAAGATAAAGTAGGTGGAGGATCTTTTAATAATGTGACTGGTGGGACCTGCTGATGTGTTTATGGGTTGCTGGATCATCAGCCTGGAGCCAACACTAAGGTCAGATGCATGCTATCCTCGGCGGGATGGGTCCCTGGAGTCCCTGAGCAGCTCGGGTTGTGGCGTCTGGACCGTGGATATCTTAGGGGAGGTCAAAAATCTACCCCCAGATCCCTGCCAACACAGAAGAGCAATCTTTGACTGTTCAGAGGACCTGGCTCTTTCAGGATCTGCACTGGGAATATCTGTGTTCCCCAGAGCTGTGAGATCTGACCCTTCTTTCCCCCTCCCCTTCTTCTCGGTGTTCCTGGCTCCCCAGTAGGCCCTTCTTGGCTATCTCCCAGAAGCCACATCTGCGGGAAATTTAGCCAAAAAACCACTGCCGAAAGTGCCTCTGTCCACTCTGGCTCCAGCAACCGTGATAATATCTTGCTCGTGTGCTTTGCCTAGCTGCAGCCAGCGGCGCAGCTCTGCGTGTGCCCACAGCCCGCGGGACCAAGGACCGCTTCTGATCTCACCCTGCTGGTGGTGACAGAGATGCTGCGGGGCGGCTGGATTTGGGCAGTCCTGACCTTCATGCCTGCCCCTGAAATTAGTTTGGAAGCAAAGGTTTAACAGTGAGGAATGAATTGTGACAGCTGATCACGGAGCCTCTTTGTGAAGAGGAATGGAAGCAAAGCATTGAGATCTCTCTGTCGTGTGCCTTTCCCCATCTGTCCTACCAGAGGCTCACTGACTGTTTTATCAGGTCTCAATTCCAGTTTGCAGCCACAATGTGCCTCCAACAGCGTGACTGGCAGTATTTCCATTGCCACGTTCCCTGGGATCCCTGCTCCTAACAGAAATCGTTTCTACTTCTCTTTATAAAAAAAAAGTGCTTTGAACATTTTTCATGTCAGAGCTAATTCCGCAGTACTTCCCTTTGGCTAACATCAGCCATTTCTGCAGTCAGCAAGGAAAGACAACATTTTAATAACCAAAGCGAGATGCATCCACCCCTATCAGCACATTAGTACTGTTTGCACTGAGATAACGGATGGTAAATTGTTGTTTCTGCTGTAAACTTCTCCTCACAGCAGTTGTACATCAGCTGCAGAATTTCACTTGTGCTGCGTCTGCAGCCGCAGCGCGACACGGCTCGTTTGTCCTTGTCGGTCCTGCCTGCAGGTCGCTCCTCCTCGAGCCCCTCCGATGCCCCCAGGTTTGCCGTTGCACTGGAGGCTGCATGGCCTAATGATTAGAAGACTCGTTTTCTGGGAATCACAGTAAATCACTTCACCTGGCCTTGCTTCTGCTTTTGTCCCCCGTCCCTTGACGGTCATCCCTAGTTGGACTGGGGAGTGGGGCTGGCTTTTGTCCCGTGCATGGTCAGTACCCAAAGCAACCAGGCCCTGCCCTGGAAGATGATAGAAATGAGGGTCAGACAAAGCATCGTCCAGCTATTGGTGGTGTTGCTGCTCAAAAAGCTGTTGTCTGCCTAAATTTAGGATCGTTTAGGCTGGAGGATTTGCAGCTTACGGCCAGCAAGGGAGGTTTTCTTGTTGCTTCATTTATTTTGTTTTGTTCTGCGCTGGAGTAAGGTGAGATGAAGGTAAATGCCGCAGCTCTTTCATGGGTGTAAGGCACAACGAGTCTTTAATTCAGTACATTGCCATGCTGTGAGCAGGACCCTGTTTACCGTTCAGAATGAAGCCACGACAACAAAAGGGGGAAAAATACATTTACACTTACCTGTGGTTATAAATCTCTCCTTCCCTGCTGAAAACTTTTGTACAGAGTAAAGTAGCATCTACTTTGGTTGTGCGCTTCGCTCCCTCTCTCAGCTGGATCTTTGCAGCTGCAGGTGTTTTTAGGTTGCATCTTGCACGTGTGTCTGAGTGCTGAAAGACCTAGTTTTGCCTTGTATATGGCTGCGTGGAAAAGTCACCAACTGCTTCGGCATGCAGGTTATTTGACCTGGGAACCCCCTCAGCACAGCTGGGCTGTCACAAAGCCCCATTTTTCACAGCTGTGATGGCATTTGGCCTTGATACTCACCCTCATGTTTGCACCAGAGCTGCTAGTGCTTGGTCTTCAGTCTCAGAGACGACATCCCAGCCCTGTGGGCGCTGCTGGAAGGGGTGACCTGGGCTGAGCAGGGCGGTGAGCCTGCAGAAGCCGGCTGGTTGGGACCTCCAGAGCTGACCCTGTCCAACTTCCCATGGGTCCATCACAACCCTATCACATTTCTCTTGCTAAATACGTGGCTCATGCTGCCGACTCCTTCTGCACACGTGCCTGCATCTGATACATCTGCAGTGCTTCGCGCTAGCCTCCTGCTCCTAAATCCATAGGCCAGCTAAATGGCATTTTCAGCAGAAAAGTTGGTGGCACGACATGCCTTGCTCCACAGAGCCCACCATGGTCTTCCCATGCGCATTCCCACAGCGTGCACGACCCCGCATGGACTCACCTCCTCTTGTTGGCCACCTTGTTGCTGCCAGCTCTGTTTGATGCCTCCAGTTTGTATATTAGTACACATAATTTGGAGATTTTATAGATCTCTATGTTCTGATATCCCCCCCTTCAGGCTTTGTGAGACTGAAAGGTCCTGGACGCTTTGGTTGTTCCTCACACAAGAGCTTTTCTCTGTCAATCATCTCTGCCGTCCCATTTTGATATATGTGAATTTAAGAAAGCCCTAAAAAGCACATGGAGCGCTCTGTAAACCCTTCTGCTGGGGGCCAACGGGAAAGTGGGATGGGACCTGGCGCCCGGGGAGGGCCAATGGCCTTGGGATAAGGGTGGGACCTTGGAAATGAGGTGCAGAGGGCGA